CCCGCGCCGCCCGCGCCGCCCGCCATCAAGTCCATCCTCAAGAAGGTCGTCGAGGTAAGCCACGCTCATTCAAATACACGAACATTACTATACTGGGATTGCGGTAAGAAGGGACCGCTTTGACAACTACTACTTGCATGTGAGAACGTGGGCTTCCGCGGCCGGAGTCAGTATTTACTAGGCTGTCCGGGTGACGCCGCGTCCATGGCGTTCAAAACGCCCTGAGGAAGGTCGCAGAATGGCGACCGAAACGTCGGCACCTTCGCCATGGACGCGGCGTCACCCGGGCAGCCTAGTAAATACTACTTGCATATCTGCAGGTTATGTCCAAGCACTCAGTTTGTCAGTGCGTTACTTTACAGTTAACTTATTTCTGTATGGATTCATCACTGTCTCTTGCAATGTCATCGCCCTGCATGACGTTCATTTGTTTCCCGGCCTGTCAAATGGCACTTTCATGGAGTAACTCGTCTTTATAAGAAGGGACCGTTTTTGACAACTACTGCTTGCGTATACGCATGTTATGTCCAAGCACTCAGTTCGTCAGTGCGTTACTTTACAGTTAACTTATTTCTGTATGGATTCATCACTGTCTCTTGCAATGTCATCGTCCTGTATGACGTTGATTTGTTTACCGGCCTGTCAAATGGCATTTTCATGGAGTAACTCGTCTTCATAAGAAGGGACCGTTTTTGACAACTACGTCTTGCCTATACGCAGGTTATGTCCAAGCACTCAGTTTGTCAGTGCGTTACTTTACAGTTAACTTATTTCTAAATAGGTTCATTACTATCTCTTCCAATGCCATCGCCCTGGATGACGTTCGTTTGTTTCCCGGCCTGTCAAATGGTCCTTCATGAAGTAACTCGTGTTTATAAGAAGGGACCGTTTTTGACAACTACTGCTTGTCTATACGCAGGTTATGTCCAAGCACTCAGTTTGTCTGTGCGTTACTTTATAGTTAACTTATATCTTCATGGGTTCATTAATATCTCTGCCAATGTCATCGCCCTCAATGAGGTTTGTTTGTTTCTTGGCCTCTGGAATGGTTCGTTCTTGGAGTAACTCCTCTTTATAAGAATGGACCGCTTTGACAACTTCTGCTTGACATATCTACAGGTTATCTGCAGGTGATGTCCAAGCACTCACTTCCTTCATGGAGTAACTCGTCTTTATAAGAAGGGACCGCTTTGACAACTACTGCTTGCATATCCGCTGGTTATGTCTAAGCACTCATTTTGACAAATGGTTCCTTCTTGGAGTAACTCCTCTTTATAAGAAGGGACTGCTGTGACAACTTCTGCTTGGCATATCTGCAGGTTGTCGGCAGGTTACGTTCAAGCACTGAGTTTGCCAGTGCGTTACTGTAAAGTTAGCTCATTTCTAAATTGTTTCATCACTATCTCTTGCAATGTCATCGTCCTGCATGACGTTCATTTGTTTCCCGGCCGGTTATTTTGTAAGCACGTTTTAGAAGATCATTTAAAAAAAACATTTTTTTGTACAGAAAATGAATGGAAAAAGGATGTTTGTTTTTATGCGATTTTGTTTCGGTATCGAGACTGGATGAACGAGATCTAGCATTGTACGCGGGCTTTAGAAAGTCTCTGATAGCTACTGCGTGGACACTCCTAACAACATAACTGTATGTTATTTCCATTTGCTCAGTTAGCCAAGGCGTTAATTTTGAATTATCTCACTTATGAATGGCTTCGAGACTACCTCTTGCAACGACATCGCCACATAAGATGTTTGTTTGTTTTCTGACTTGTCAAACTGGTCCCTTCTTAGAGTAACTTTTCTTTACAAGCTTTCACCTTCCCACCCACCCGCCATTCGAAGTGCAGCGGCCGATTTGCACTCTACACTGCCCACTTGTAAGCAGATTCGTGAGCACAGTCATTTATTTCCGGCCATTAAGCGTTTACTTTCCTTACTATAATTACATCTCGAGAAACCAGCTGGATCTACACGAATCTATTTCTTCCAAGTGTGTTACTCCTTGGTAGGCAGGTATTATCTAGGCCAGTACCAGACAGATTTAAAACGAAACGCATAGAAGTTCTTAGATCATGGGTTAAAGGAACAGCAGGAGTATCTCTCATCCACAATAACAATCTCTCATCCACCGTCGCTTTGCCACACACTTTACCTTTATGCACAACTCGGAAAGGACGCGCATATACTTTGATTTTTTAAAAGTGGTCAATGACATTAGGGCATTGTGACACCTTCTGCCGTGTAAAATTATTTTTTATTTTATTTCGGAGGCCACGAGTCCCGTTGGGAAGGACGTTCGCGAATTAATTAAAAAGGTTGCCTCTTTCTGACACACTTTTATTTCTTACGCTGCAATCCTTTCTCACTCCTTAGCTCTTATAGAAGTACTTTTTCGATTTTTTGATAGTTATTTAGAAACTTCCATTTTATTCGGCTGAACGGCCACGGCACTATCTGCCGCCGTATTATTAGAAATACATTTGGTAATAAAAAATCACTCAAAATTAATTTATAAATGTACGTATTAAAATGTCTCAAAACGTAAGAGAAAGAATTGGGGTACATGCGAAGAACAAGGGACGATAAAGCGTTTACTTTCCTTAATATAATTACATCTCGAGAACCTTTTACTGCCCTCAGTACAGATGTTTCTTAATTACAATGACACACGTTTAAATATCCTATTTCTTTGTGGTGATTCTAGTCTTGTAGTCCTTTTTTATTAAAGCGATGGTACTCTATTCTATATAGATGTGTCTATTCTCTTCTTTCGATTTGATCTAGGGCTGATACAACTTGTAATTCTTTTCGAATATCTTGAATTCTTTAGTGATCAGTTTTCGTTCAACCTTTTACTGCGCTCAGAAACTTCATATGATACCTGTATTCTGCTCATTCTTGTATGAATTCTATTCTGCGGGTTCGCTTCCGTACAGCAAGGTTGGTTTTGCCATTGTTTTATAGAATTGTAACTGTTTTTCTTTTCGGGTTTTCTTACCAAGGTTTCTTCTTATGGTTTCACACACTAGATGAAATCGCGAGTTTCTTCTGGACGTCAACTGGATGGTTATTAAATCATTTTTAAAACCATCGATGGTTTTAGGTCGATGTTTTACCGACGAAGCTTTAGTTTTGAGCATAGATGTTTGGAAACGGATGCTTTGGGTCTTATTAACATCGATGTTTAAATTTTGACCATAGATATTTGGAAACGGATGTTCTGGGTCTTATTGACATATATGTTTTATTTTTGAGCATAGATATTTGAAACTCGATGTTTTGGGTCTTATTAACATCGATGTCTTAACTTTGATCAACGATGTTTGAAAACCTGAATGTTTTATCGGCGTCGCCTCCCTAGTATGCGTTGTTTCTCTCGCAGCCGGAGGAGGAGAGCGCGTCCCCGGCGGAGCGCGACTGCAGCGCGGCGCTGCGGCGGCCACTGGCCCCCTCCTCGGCCGCCTGCGCCCCCG